ATTTTATTAATTAGTTAGTTAATAGCTAATTAAGACCTCATTAATTAGGGTTTGTGGCTAATTAATTAAGTAGTTAATTAATTACTTAATGGCTAGTTTGAAACTGATTATTCACCTCATAATTAAGGATTAGTTGCTAATAGAATACTCCTCACAGACGATGACTAACACGTCTAATATGTTCATAAATACTCCGAGAAGCAATCATTGAGTATACAAGACTGTTGATATAAGATCAAAGACCACGCATCAAAAATGTTTTATTATAACGTATAAACTAATTTTTGATTCCAATTTTGAAGGAATGGGTAAAACAATATTTTAGAAATGTGCTTCGAAATAGATAAATTTAAAAGATTCTCCTGCAATTAGGAAAAGCAGCCGGATCGTGTTTCACATTTTAATCCCGGAAGGGATTGTGCTGAAAGCTTTTTTATATGAATACTTACCGAGGATTAGAAGCAATTATTTGAAGATTTTTATTTAATTTAGTCCAATCTTCTTTAGAAAATCGTGCTAATTCATATCGAGTAGATGCAATAACAATCAATGTACGATTGAAAGGCATAAATACTTCACACATTGCTATAGGATGAAAACATATAAATACATTGACTTGATTCATTTCGAAATCATTCTTGTAAGCTTCATAAAATTGTTTGTGAAGTTTTGAATCAGTACTCATACCATTTTCAGAATTTAAAATCTTTAAATTTGTTGCACATGTTTTAGTTAAATAACAATGACTTGATAAACTTTTGTCAATAAATCGAACACTGAGTGATGCAAGTTGATGTTTTATATCATGGATCGGACTATTGAGAATAGAAACAAATAAATATGATAGGAAAAAAAAAGAATTTTAAGAAAAACTTCCTATTGAAATTTTCATTTCAATCAAAACTAGATGGGAGAGATTATCGTGGCAGCACAGTGCGGTGCTGACAATGATTTTTTTTTGAAGGATACTACAAAATTTACATGATTTTTTAGAGATTTTTCATCTCAACAAGTGTAACATTTTATGACTGAGTAAATTCAATGAATTAGGAAGAATAATTGTAGTTGAATATATAGAGTCATAGCAGTGAAATGAGAAAAATTTGAAGTGAACAAAATATGTCGATTTCTCAGAATCAGTATTAAACAAAGTTTCTACTAGTTGATTCAATTGAACGAGATAGAAAATGAATTTTAAAAAGAATAAATAAAAAAAGAAATACCCTATGTGATAATCATTAGTCCAAACAGTTATTTTGTATACAGGAACAATCTTTGGATTTTCTGGTAGATACATCATGTATACAAGATATCCAATTGAACAAAATATAACAACAATTATGGTAATAAATTTAAATCGATTGAATGATATATAAAACATTTTCAAAATAATATTCATTGGAACAATTAATCGAATTCGAAATGACAAAACAAAATTTTTAAATATTCTTTATCTAAGAAATCCTTGAGAATAAACAATAAATAAACATAATTTCATTTATATTGATTTAAATTCTAAAATATAAATAAATAATTAAATATATATCTCAATAATCAATTAAATTAATTGAAATAAAAATAATAATTATTTTAATTATATTTTGTTTTGTATTAACAAAATAATCAATAAAAACTCTATTTTAACAATCAATTTATTTCATTTAAATAATAACTAAAAAAGAAAAATCAATGATTATTATTAAAATTTGAGAAGAATTTCAATTACATTTAATCAAAATCATAACATACGATATAAAAGTAATGACACAAAATGTCAAGTCATATTTCTCTTCGATCGAAGAATGCTGGAAGAAAATTTTTTTTTTTTGAAACCAAACAGTAGAGTTTTTTCTTCTCTTTCGAATCGTATATAATTTATTTTTATAATACATTCATATAAATGAAATGACATAACAGAAAAGAGAAGCACTCTTACAAAACAAAATACACACTTTTCATAAGATTCAGAAAAACGATGCAAAATAATGATCCATTTGATAACTCGTTAAAATAAAAACGTTTCGAAAAAAATATTTTTCTTATCAATTAACAGGAAATTTTTCTCTTCTTACAAATTTAGTGTACGATTGATGTTTGTAACACATTGGCAAATGAAGCGAAACGAGAGAGAACAGGACACATACTCGCAATTTATTTGTAATTTTTATATGAACTTATCAAAAACAGCTTGTCAGACGGCAATTAATTTATTTTTTGTAGATTTATTAAAAAGATTTTGTGAATCGATGGTTACTTTGACTTTTATGAAATAGTTAAAAATATTCTGTAAAACGATAGTTAATTATTATTAGTTGTTATCTACAATATGCTTTTGATGAATTATTCAACTAAAAATTACAAATTTAATGAGCGAACCTTTCTTTTTTTCGTTTCGTTTCACTTAGCAATATGTGATAAATATGAATCATATATCATTCGAAAGAGAAGAAAATGTTTTTGTCAATTGATAAACAAAAATATTTTGTTCTCCAAGGTTGACTTATCGAGGAGATATAATGATTGACCTTGTGTACAGTCCTTTAATAGAAAAACTGCGTATTTTTTTTCTAAGAGAACTTCTCTTTTCTATTGCATCATTTTGTTTATGAACGTAGTATAAAAATAAGTTATATACGATTTGAAAGAGAAGAAAAAGTTCTATCGTTTAATAAAAAGAAAATTTTTTTTTGTTTTTATTAGTTCTTCATTTTAACAATCGATTAAGGTCAAATTACTTTGAAAAAGATTTTTCGATGGAAAATAAGAACAAAAAAAAAACATGATGATTTGTAAAAATGCGTATTAGAGTAAAATGAATCAATTTCGATTTCGTGTGTTAACTTTGCAAGGATCAATGGAATAATATATGATTTTTTTATTCGTATATTACATGATTGTTCTCATATCAAATCATCTATTTTAACTTTATATAATAGATTTGATTTGATTTTAAAAAATAGAAAATCTATATGAAATATTTAATAGTTTTTATTGATATCTAGTTTATCATAAAAAAATCAAGTGTTTAGATAAATAGATTTAAAGTTGAATACAAAAAACAAAATGATATTTTATTTCGACTATGTAAATGACCTAGAAGAAAATTTTATCGTAGCTAAAAAAAAAGAATATTTTTCTGTTAATTAAAACTTTTTTTCTAAAATAGTCTTACCACCAGTCAGATCAATGATTCGAGCGATCAAATTCACGAAAGTCTGCTGGAAAGGCGTCGTATCCGACCGTATAATGATAACAACTTGAATGCATCAATGCGTTGATAGTATCGTTTAGTCAGTCCTGCTCGGCGGAATCGGAAAAATTTGCTAACTCTATTTCTGATTCCAACTTGGAACTATTTTTTCGATGAAAATGACTCTAGTTCATTCATTTGGATGCCTATTCATTTATACTGCAAGTCAAACTTGCGACTATTTAATATCTCATGCCAATATTGACAAAATATATTCGAGTGATAAAAAATACAAAGAGATTTGTGTAAAGAATTTATAATTCTATTCTACTAATGATGATAGATTTCTATATTAACTACTATTTTATTGAGACGACGATATTGATTCGTATACAATCTATTTTGAATATGCCATGCAAGTTTATTCAGCCATATCGAACATGATCAGTACACGGCACAAAACAACATGAATGAACTCATCAGAGAATAAAACGTATATGATAAATCACATTTACATATCAGGCGAACATACACACAATATGCCAAAGTAATGAGACAATAATAAAGAGTGAAACGAAAAAAGAAATAGAGAGACATTATTAATAAAAAACAAAAATATGGCATTGAACGAAACTGTAGCCGACAAAAATTACGACAAGGATATGGATGTGAGTCAGAGATCCGAAACTCACGAGAGAACATCGCCAAGTGTGAGTCTCAGTTTTGAATGTGATATATACCAGCTTGTAGAGCTCGACGAGCTGATTCTTGTGATGTGTTTCGTTTTTGCCCATAGATCTCCAAATGAGAGAAACCAATCGATTTTAATAGTGAATTTCTTGTCT